GCTCCATCCGTGTTAAGTTTAAGCCAGCCAGCTCTCGGGGAAATCCAGCTAATAAGTTGTTCTGAACGAGGCTGAGGACTCAATAGACTGTTGCTGTTACTAGCTGTTTTCCAGGCATTTCCCCACTCTTTTGCTTTGCTCATCACATAATTGCACAGAGTATGCTTCGAGAGTTTGATCCGCTTAAAAATCTGATCATTGCGGCATTTCCAGATATACCAGCATACAAGTCCAAAGTAACTAGGCCAATCAACTGGCCACTCTCCCTGGAGGTCTGTGGATAAGTTGGTCTCCATCCAATTATGATAACCAGAACTAAAAAAATGCTGAACCTGGTCTGCAGGAAGAAGCTTTTGCCAAACATTCTTGGCCATGAAGTAGGGGTGGGCAAACGGTTCGGTAAACCCGAACTGAAACGAAACCGAATTAAACCGAACCGAAACCGAATTAATGCTATTCGGTTCGGAATTCGGAAGGAAAATATGGATAGTTCGGAAACTAGGGTTCTTTCCACCGAACCGAATTTCCGACCGAAAAACCGAAATACTATAATTGCAAGCTCCAAATGGTGGATTTTATGTTTGTAGTTGTTTTTAAACTTAAATATTTGAAATGTTTTATGACTTATGTGTTGAAAAGTTTGATTTTATCATTGATGATGCATATAATTGATATTTATTGTTTATATTAGGGGTAAAAAATAATTTAAAAGTGAGAAAATACAATTAGCTTCACAAATTCGGTTTTGGGTGAAAAACCGAACCGAATTATAATTTGGTTTAAACCGACCGAACCAAATTATAATTTGGTTCAAATTCGGTTTGAGGTTTGAGAGAATTCGGGGACCCGGTATTCATAATTTCGGTTCGGTCGAAACCGAACCAACCGAATGCCCACCCCTACCATGAAGCAGTCTCGAAGACAGTGAAGATGAGTCTCTGGAATATCTTCACACCGGGAGCATTCATCATTCTGGGTTAGGTGTCTGAACTTGCGGACATTGTTGGTCATAAGTTTTCCCTTCATAGCCATCCAGATAAAGGTACGAACTCTTTATGGTACCTGAAGTCTCCAAATCTTTTTCCAAAAGTGAGGAGTCATGTTCGATTTCCGCGTCACCAAAGCAGAATACGCCGAGCTCGTGGTAAAGCGGCCAGTGGCGGTAAGGTTCCAAATCTTCTCATCGTTCCCTGCTGCCAAAGGGTCAACCACGATAGCTCTAATGGTGTTGATAATGTGAGGCGGGAGAAGGTTCTGAAATTCCTGCAACTTCCATCCATGATCTGCATCCCAGAGATCTGCCACCGATTAATTCTTCATGTCTTCAGAAACGACTCCAGTCGCTTTCTCAATAAGGGGGTCCTGCAAACCCAGTTATCCAACCAGAAATTAGTGTTGTGGTCATTCCTAACATTAGATATAATTCCTTTTTTAAGAACATTCACAATAGAAGTGAAGCTCCTCCAGGCAGTAGAACTTCCCTGAACTTGTGAAAGGACCTGAAGACCATCTCTAACTCTCTCATATTTAGCCTTCAGCACTCTTGTCCACAAGGCTTGATCGTTGGTAGCAAGCTTCCACCCACTCTTTGCTAACATAGCTTGGTTGGCTATACGGGTAGGTCTTATCCCTGCTCCTCCCAGCTTCCTAGGCAGCATCATCTCTTCCCAAGCAATATTGTGGGGTTTAGATTTCCCATCTTCTTCTCACCATACAAATTGCATGTTGGATTTGTCCATAGAATTGCACACCGATGAAGGTAGCATTTCTGTAAACATGGGATAAATAGCCATGGATGAAGAAATCGATCTCACCAGATTAATTCGAGCAGCTAGCGAGAGGTGAAAAGTCTTCCAGGAAGCCAACTTGGTCTGAATTCGAAGGCAGAACTCCTTGTAACGGGACTTGGAAACCCTCCCATTGATAGTATGAATCCCCAGGTATTTTCCTAAATCACACGTGAGACGAATACTTGCTTTCTGACTCAAAAATTCGGCTTTGTTCCGCGGAGTATTGGCTGAAACCAACATAGCTGGCTTAGCCAGAGTAACATTCTGTCCTGAACTCCTGCAAAATTCATCAAGGCATCTGCGAATAATCACAATCTGGTTGCTTTCAGCTTCTGCAAATAAGACTAGATCATCAGCAAAAAATAAGTGAGAAAGTTTAGGGCCATTGGGAGAAATAGACAAAGGTTTCCAGAGCTTGTCTGCAATAGCGTGCTCAATACGGTGAGACAAACGTTCCATGCATAAAACAAACAAAAAAGGGGAAAGTGGGTCTCCCTGCCGAACCCCTCTGGAGGGGATGATTTGGTCGGACAGCTGGCCGTTCCAATTGATTTTCATCTTGTTTCCCTCGACACAACACATAATTCTACTAATCCAGGAGTTGGGAAACCCTATCTCCACCAAACTATCCCTGATGAACTCCCATCTAAGCTTATCATAAGCTTTTTCTAAATCAATTTTAATCATAAACCCTACCTTCTTCCCTTTCTTGTGTCGAAGAGAATGCAGGACTTCTTGAAGAATAATAATGTTATCATTCGTTTGTCGCCTAGGGATGAATCCACTTTGAGGGGGTGCTACAAGCTTGTTCATCAAAGGTTTGAGGTGATTGGGGAAAGCCTTAGTGATCGCCTTTAGGCCCACGTTATTGAGACATATTGGGCGAAATTGAGCAGGAGTCTCGGGTGATCAGTTTTGGGAACTAATACAATTGTTAACTCCAGGAGCTCAGTCGGCAAGGTACCTGCATCAATAAATTTAAGTGCCATATCAGTAAGATCACGGCCAACGAACTTCCAAAGCTTCTGAAAAAATACAGCTTGGAAACTATCTGGCCCGGGAGCTGAGAATGGTTTCATGCCAAAAATAGCTTTATGGAAGTCCAAAATAGTAAAAGGTCGAAGAAGGGATAGTAAATCCTCGTTGGAAAGTCGAGGAAAACTCTGTTTGGGCATTTCATCTTCGCAAGGGTCATTGTCTTTAGTGTAGAGAGAAGCATAAAAGTTATAAACTAGCTCCCCAACTTTCATAGCATCCTCCACCCACTCGCCATTAGCGTCTCGAAGAGTTAGAATCCTGTTGCGTCGTCTTCGTCTAGTAGCTTGTTGGTGGAAGTAGGAGGTATATTGCTCTCCTAGCTGGACCCAATTCTCTTTGGCTCGTTGATACCATAGAACTTCTTCTTGAGCAAGAAGCATGTCGAGCTCGACTTCCAATTTAGCTTGGAACATAATCAAACCATGTCTGAAATGAGCAGCAAGATTGGTCTGGACCCCTTGGAGACTAGCTAGAATCCTCCTCTTGCGATGATGGATAATGCCAAACACCATCTTGCTCCACTCTTGAAGTTTGAGGGTGATGTCTTTCATAGCTTGATTCACATCTCCCTCAACATTCCAAGCCCCTGCAAAGAAATTCTCAAAGTCCTTGTGAAGAAGCCAAGCAGCTTCAAACCGGAAAGGCTTGTAGCTGCTATGAATAGGAGAATTATTATCACTAATAGTGAGAATCGGAAAATGATCAGAATGTATCTTAGGGAGATGTTGCACTGTAGAGTTAGGAAACATAGAGTTCCACGCTGTATTGCAGAGGGAACGATCTATTCTGCTAGCCTTATGAGTAGTGTTTGTATCTCCCCTGCTCCACGTGTAACAGGGTCCTGATAAACCCAAGTCAGAAAGATACGCAGTATCGATCCAATTGGCAAACATCAGAAAAGATTAGACCCAATTTCTCAGAAGGTAACCGATAGGTATTAAAATCGCCAGTGACAAGCCAAGGCAAGTCGAAGTTTTGACTAGTGTGAATAATTTGGTCCCAGAGAAGCTGATGATAGTTATATTGAGGGCTTCCATAAATAACAGTAAGCAGCCAGTCCGGGGAGTGTTTACTGGAAACTTTCACAGTAATATGTTGTTTGCTAGCATCAACCAAGCATAGTTGAAACTCATCTGATTTCTAGGCCAACCAGATTCCCCCTTTTCTACCATCAGCATCGATTTTGATCACTTCGCCAAACCCTAGACTATCACACACCGAAGTGGCCCGGTCACCACTGATTTGAGGCTCGAAAATGAAGAGGAATTGCGGATTATAAGTATGAACAAGCAATTTGATGACACGACGGAACTCCTTGCTTCTTGCACCACAAACATTCCAAGCCAAAACTTTAAAGTTAGTAGACATAGACATAAGGAAAGAAGAAGACAGCAACCGGAGCAGCCAGCTCAAGGTCAAGAGATGAGGTTTTCTGTCGACGGGGGCTCCATTGCTGGGGCCGTTGCTTCATTCAAGTTTCCCGCCAGATCTTCTGCCATAACAACATCGCCAGGTTGCTTGGTATCAGAGCTTAATAGATCCACCAGCCGCTGTTGAGAAATGGCGAAAAATTCTTCAATAGCTTTCATAGTAATCGGGAATTTGGCTTCTTTGGCTTTGCTGAGAAGTTCTTTCTTGGCAGGAGAGGCAATCTGCAGCGGTTTCTTTATTGTTTTGAGAAGAATTCCTCTATTCTTATATGGAGACGGAGCCTGATCTTGTTGCTTCTTTCGATAACGTTGGCGGATAGACGAGGAGTTTGAGTTTGGGTCAGTGTTCTTCTTTAGATTCGTCTGGAGGTCTGGAACAGATAGCACATGAATCTTAGTATTGTTCGGGCCCAAGATCAGTTGGGCTCCCTGACTATTAGTCGCAGAAGGGGAAGACTGAACCGAAGTATGGGCTGTCGCACTCTTGGTTTGGGCTTTACTGGAAGAGGCCTCCTTAGATCCCACTGGTCTCCATTCTTGAATGAGGTTTTCAGTATGCTCGCCGTTTATAGTCAATCTTTCGTGGCTGGAGCTTTTCCTTTATGACTTTTGGAGTTTCCCTTTTTACTTCCCATCGCCAAATCCTTCTTTCCTTTTGTTTCCATTGCAGCCGTTGTCTTTTGGGATTCGACTTTCCCTTTCCCCCCAGATTTGGCGGAGGCACGGCCCGAATTAGTGCCTACTATTGAAGGAAGGTTTGCTGATTTCCTTGATTGACTGCATCTTTTTTGGAATGTTTACAAGATTTACGAATCACTTGCATCCACGGGCCATATCCCGAGGGAGGTCCCGGCGAGTCGGTCACCGGCGGCACTTGAGCTGCGTCTGAGTTTGGATGGAGGATGATTGCTTGCTGTAGGACAGGAGTAGTTTTCGGACATGATTCCACCAAATGACCGATCCGCCCACAGTCAAAACAGATGTGTGGAAGATTCTCATAGACGATTGGTTGCCAAAATCCATCCAAGGCGACTCGAGTGGGCAGTGGCTTTGTCATGTCAAGCTCAATCACAAGCCGAGCGAACTTTCCTCGTTGCAGCGTTTTTGTATGGTATTCAATTTTGACTGTTATGCCGACCAGATTACCCAAAGCAAAGAGAACCTCTCTATGATAGAAGTGTACAGGAAGTTCTGGAAATAGAACCCACGATACCACTGAAAGGTGGGGCTTGCTATCTGTACGAAAATTTGGAGACCACTGATGAACAATGAGATAGTGGTCTAGTATGACCCATGGTCCCCCGGTAAGAGCCCGGAGATAATCTTGTTCGTCTCCAAAGGTAACAAGGAAAGTGTCATTGTTTAGATCCATGATATCCATCGAGCCTACTGGCCGCCATTTCCATCTCAACTATGAGCAGAGATAAGCATAAGAGACTGACCTGCCAAGAAGCCGAACCATCAGGGTTTTCTTCCAAGGATCACAAAGCCGTTCTTTGAACTTCTCTGAGATTTTGAGTTCAGGTTCGCCTCCAAAAAGAACCAGCCACCAGATCATGTTCCCCAACAAAAGTCCATTGATTAGCCTTGGTCGAGTTGTTCTGTGAAATCCCCGCCTGCACGCTCTTGTAAGATTGCGGGACCATTTGGAGGGATGGAGTGGGCGTGCCTATCATCGGAGAGGCTATTTGGGGAACAGGGTCAGGAGGTCTCCCGACCTGAGGAAGTGATTTCAGAGGAAGCCGAGAGCATTTCAGAGCCCTCTAATGTTAAATGGGATGGTGGGGATTCGAACAATGTAGTTGATACTTATTAACCTGGAGAATAAAACTATAAAATTGTAACACCTAGAGCCCATTTAGTGGCTGATATAAAATCTATGATCGAAGACCATTACTGCCGTCCCAAAAGTATGAGCACTGCTACTGATTGGCTGGCTTTAGAGCATCTCCATTGGAATTTCATTTAAAATTGCATTATGACATGACATTCATTTGCAATTGCATTATGCAATTGCATTGATGTAGATGACAATTGCATCTTTGCAAGCTTGCATATAATGCAATTATAAGATGCAAGCCATGTCATCTTTTTTATTATTAAATTATTCATTAATTTGTGCTCTACTCCTAGCCGTTAGGAGTTTGTAATTCTTTGGCGCTTGCCTCCCTTCAATCGAAAAAAAAATTAATTGCAATTGGAAGGCAATTGCATTGATGTAGTGCAATGAAAGTAATATGAGTTGACTTGCAAAAATGGTGTCGTGTAAATAAACCACAAATGCAATTTCAAATGAAATTGCATCAATGAAGATGCTCTTAGCGACCGTCCCGTAACTACTAAAGGCCTGTATTGCCGTTGCTTTCGTTATAAAAGGATAATAAGTACTTGTAACAATTTAGTGTCGTCCTCTTCCAAATACGAAAGAGGGAAATCACTTCCAAAACTTTCGGATTTGTTCCAATAACATGAATTCCAGAAAGGAATACCCGTACAAATTCTCATCTCACAAGAACTGCCATTTTCACTATTGATTAAATTTGTATTCAAATAGCAATTTCAATAACTTCAATCACAATACATAGCGCCTATAGCATTTCTATCCTTATTACAGACTAGTTTATATATATATATATATATATATATATATATATATGTGGAAAAAAAAATTATTCAAAAAAATCGATCACAAAATATATGTGATGATTATGATGATCTCAACATTGCAAATAACAGTCACATATGATGGTTGCCAAACGACAGTCAGCAACAGCAGCCGTTCCAAGCATTCTTTCACATTCCATTTGGCATCTATCATATATACATTCTCCCATTTCTATGGTTGTTTTCCAACAGAAAGCGAGTACCGATCCGTCGTCTCTGCTCAATTGCCTTCCCCAACAATTTCCTTTGGAACAAAAGATGCGGCAGGTTAGTTGTTCATCTTAAGCTTACGGGAACTTGAATTAATGGTAGATGCATGCAATGCAGTTAAAATCGCGTTTTAAAACTTAAAAGTTTATATTTTTACGCTTTTAATTTATTAACGCACTTTCACATAAAATCACACTTATCCTTACAATTGTAGTCAAAATCTACGCTTTAAAACTTAAAATCTTACAGTTTTGCACAACTATATGTCACTAGAACGCTTCTGCATAGAATCGCATTTTTTACTGCATTGAATGCATGAAACTTGAAAGAGAGAGAGAGTTAGAAATTCTTATTACCAGAAATAAGGAGGAGAAGCAGAAAGATCAAGAGGGCATTACTTGATTGAGTCTTCATATTGGTGATTACTTGTAGCCTTGAAAATAAATAAGAATTTCAATATGTAGAAGTGGAGCTATAAAGCTTACCGTATATATAGTTCCCAAGGATTAATATGAAAGATACGTGTTTAATTGTGTGTGTATATATATATATATATATATATAAAAGTGATAATCCCCAGTTAAGTCGTGTTTATTGTTGTAGTCAATAGGTGCTTCGTCAACCATTTGATTGCGGATTCAATTAAGGGTTCATCCGGAGAAAAGGGGAATATGAACCTTTCAATTTGATCATAAAAGTATTTATAGAAATGGTTAGGATACAAAATCATATACTATAATCAATATAAAAAATATACGTATTATTCGTTTATCATCTTCATCATAAATTGGTTCAAAATTCAAATTAAACACTATGACATGTATGGGTATTGGAGTAATTTTCTCCCTTTGATACGAAAACCAGAGGAGAGAAAAGAGAGTTTTGACTAGTATCCTGATCTTCAATTTTCTTAATCGAGTTATATCTCCTTCATTTTTAACTTATAATTAAAAAAAAAAAGCATAGAAGGAATGCATGAATTAATATTCATTTTGATATATTTTTACTAAACAAAAATCTAACTCTTTAGCATACGTGTTGGTTGTTGTATTATCGCTATTATATTATATGATAGTGATATGATAACATATCTCTTTCATTTTAACTAAAAAATAAAATAAAAAAATTGTATAAAAAAATAATTAATTATTATATACACAAGGATATCCATTTTGTGGTAAGACACACAACATTATAATATTACTGTGATATCATGATATTATCACAATATCATTCTATCTTATTAGTGCCATACCAACATAATACCTAAGGCTTCATAATTTCATCTCATCATTTTTATACCATGATCTACCACTATGATATCATTGAGAAACAAACATGTGTTTGCTGTAACTGTATCATTCATATCATGATTTTACTACTGTGGCAAGATAACATGTGCATTTTTTATTCAAAAAAAATTAAATGGTTGTCAATTTGTCGAGTATAAAAAAATCTGATATTTCTATGCAAATCTTTTTGAATCCGATGTAAAACGAATAAATTATGGTCCGTTGAATAGTCGTAAACGAGTTGAAAAATCATATAACAACATGCCTGAAAAATTCGTGCAAACACAAAAGAATCATGTCAGCTACCCATAGATTCTAGTAAGCTCTCTCCCCAAATATGGAAAGAGAAAGGGAACACACAATTTAAAATGGACCATGTACAACAGTACAAGGATCCCTACTAAGCATTCATAGCTGAATGGATAAAGCGAGCAACTCATAATTTGTGAGTCGGCCACATCAAATGAACTCGGATTTTCACTACACCAAAACCGTATTTTAGCGACGGTTATCTGGAATTTTAGCAACAATTATTTAACGGCACTAGGGTTGTTAATGAACTGAGCCGAGCCGAGATTTTTCTTGTTCATGTTCGGCTCTTTTATAAACGAGTTGAGCTGAGTCAAACACGAGCCAGCTCATTTATTAAATAATGACACATCATTAAGGTTGAAAGTTCGACTCGAGTTCAACTCTAAGATAATTTATAATATAAATGCCCTTATATTTATATATCATATCTGACACATGTGATTACCTAATTTTATGTCATAAATGAGACGTATTTGCTCACATATACTCAATGTATTAAACACCATATGAGGTGATATATACAATTTAATAATTATATGCATCATTAACAAACCAACTCATAAAATATAGATAGATTTTCTCATAAGCTGCAATCGAGTTGGCTCTCTAGTCACAATGTTGGGACATCTCATAAGCTCAAAACGAGACAGCTCATGAGTTGTATTCAACGAGCCACCTGATTGAGCTAGTTTACAAGCTTCACAAGCCGAACAAGGTAGAGCTCAAACTCGACCCGTTTATTAATGAGCCGAGATTTTTTTTTTAATCGAACGAGTTTTTATCGAGTTTAACACCGAGCCGCTCACGAATAGCTCGACATTAACAGCCCTAATGACAACCAACCAACAGTCACTGACCCCACGGGGTGGGATACTATGCTAACCCCTAAAAGGGTCTGTTTTTTGACACCCTCTTCTTGATTGATCACTTTCCATTTAATCATTTGGTAAGTTGTATTAATGAAAGTTGATTTTTATTTTATTTTTTGTAATCTTGTGAATTGGAAAAGTCTTAATTGTGATAATAATTATGAATGGGGAAGGAGAAAAATGTTGAAGGGGGAAAGTGCCTTTTCAGCTCCCATATTCCCTCCCGAAAAAATAGCAACCCATCCCTCTCCTCTGCGGAACTTGACGGTGGCCCTCTCCTCTGCATAAATCGATGGCGGCCGGAAACCATCGAGTTGCTCGCCGACGGTGGGATCGCCTTCGACCTACCTGGTGGGTTGCTCTTCGTAGAAGGACGAGACACGGGGGATGAAGAAGAACATGAAGGGCGGCGGCAGAGATGAAGAAGAATACCTGGGGGTTTCTCGTCGGAGGAGAACCCATCGGAGATGAAGAAGAACATGAATGGCGGCGACAGATCCTTTCTTACTGCTCCCTGTTGTGAAGTGCAACCCTACAAAGTCTGGGAGACGGCGACACTTCCGTGAGCATGTACCACTAATCTGGTGCATGTACCACTGATCTGGTACAAGTACCAGGGCAACTATTCAAGCATACTTTCCACACCAAAATGTGACCATCCACGGGTAGTGTTAGATATATTGCACCTGTACAAAATCGAAACTCATCCTAAATGTTCCCATTTCAGTGATAGATAGACTTTAGAGTGGTACCATTGAAGTGATACATGTATCACTGAACTTATATACCAATGAATTGATACATGTACCACTGAACAGATACACGTACCACATAACAGATATATGTACAACCAATTCGATACGTAAACATACCAGCAACTTTCCATTAGTATCACTACTAATCGTGGAGTAGAATGTGTTATCAAAAAAGAAAAATGCCAACAATAATAAAATATCCAGCCAATGCAAGAAATAAACATGAAGTCAGTATGAAATTGTTTGTGGGAAGTCTAAACCAAGGGAAATCAAGTATAGCCTTTCTCTCCTTTGAACCGCACGTCGTTTTTTGTCGCTCCCTGTTGTGAAGTGCAACCCTATAGTGTTTGGCAAATGACAACACTGCCGTGAACATGTACCACTGATCTGATACATATACCAATGAATTGATACATGTACCACTGAAGCGGTAACCTGATACAAGTAACCGTGCAACTATTCAAGACATACTTTTCACACCGAAATGTGACCACCCACTTGCAGTTTTAGATATAATGTACTCGTATCATTAGAAAAATCGAAACTCATCCTAAATGTTCTTATTGTAGTGTTAGATATAATTAGGAGTGGTACCATTGAAATGGTACATGTATCACTAAACTAATAGATATACCAGTGAACTGACACACATATCATTGCACTGATACATGAACCACTTAACAAATACGTGTACTACTTAAAGTATATATGTACAACCAATCTGATACGCAAACAAACAAGCAACTTTCCATTAGTATCACCACTAACCGCGGAGAAGAATGTGTTCTCAAAAAAGGGAAATGGAAATAACAAATAATATCCAGCCAATGTAATAAACAAAAATGAAGTCACTAGGAAATTGTTTGTTCGAAGCCTAAATAACGATAAATCATGTGTCGAAGGATGACTGGGTCACTTGGGGAATGCAATGGAAAAACATAATTTGAATTATAGAGTTGGGGCTGCACTTCTTGTCGCTAAGATAATCAGTACGTTTCCTCTTCCCCCTAATTTGTTGTCCATTATCCTGGATTTCACGAAATCGCTTCTTGCTGGTACCCGCACTCGAGAAATGATCCTGACCTAACCCATTTTCTTCATTACAAAACACATAGCTTCCATGCCTCTTCCCTCTAGGCACTCAAGGATACGGTCTCTTCGTCTTGGCCAGTTCTGTAGACAATAATTAGCACTATCAATGTAGTGATAGAAATACGAATCAATAAATAAGACAACTACCACTACAGTGGTAGAATTACCAGTACATTTTTGCACCTACTGACTCCCTCGGAGCACCTGCAAGAAGTACCACTGCACTGGTAAGCATATTACTTCACAAATAGAAATACCACTGGACTGGTAAGACACATCTACTGGAATAACATTCAACAAAAACTCAAACACTACAATTATCATTGTAGTGGTAACATTACCACAAGAAAAAAACACATCTTAGTGGGTATGAGCGAGAAAAACTAGACTGATAAGGAATAGTTAAAAAATCACAAATCTAGAAAAATCCGGGATAATGATAAACTACCAGTACACTGGTACCAATACCAGTACTCACATATTAGTATAATCATAAACTACCAGTTCACTGGTACCAATACCAGTTCTACACCAAAAACCCAGATCTGGGTATGGGAGAGATAGATAGTGGGACGGAGAGAGTTGCCTCAGATTCTTCATCGTCGTCGTCGCCGGGAAGGGAAGGATGGCCAGTGTAGGAAGGGGAGACGGGTCGTCATCTTTGCCGGGAAGATGAGGATGATCATTGTCTTCTCCGTTGATCCCTTCACAGTGCCAAGCTCATGGAAGGAGATGGAGAGTTACGACAAGCTTGGCGTTGCTCGGAGAACAACGACAGTCACGATCTAAGACATAGCCCATGATGGAGGATGTGGGATAGAGCCGGAGGGAGATGTGGACTGTGACGGTGAAGAAGCGACGACGGCGAGCAGGGGAAGAGGGAATCGAGAGAGAGAGGAGGAAACGAAAGGGAGAGAAAAAAGGGGGAGAAGAAAAGGGTTTCGAATTGGGGGTGATAATCGTTTTTTTCCCATATTCTCTCTCTTTTTCAATATGGTGAGAGAAATTAATTATGTAATTAATGTCTAAAAAACAAGTGATTAATACTTACCATTGGATTAGATGGATGGTATCTAAGAAGGGTGTCAAAAATCAAACCCCCTTGAAAGGGTAGTCACGCTAACCACTCCCCTGACCCCACTATCTAAAAAAAAATTGGCGACGTTTGGTCAACATGTACTGTTTGTAAAATTTAGCGACACCTAGAACCGACACAATCTTTCAAGCAACCCGTGGTTAAATGAATATTTCTGAAATACATTAAATTATTTAACAGTTCCAACCGTCACTAACAGCTACCAGCCATCGTTAATGGCTATTTTTATAAGAGCCACCTGCTCTAATGAACACAGCTCTGACCTATTGTTATTTCAAATCCAACTAATTAAGAAGATCAATCTCATTTGATAAAATGTACTACTTTGAATTACCAAATCAACAATATAAAACATCAATAAAAAATCATTCAATTCTAGTACTAATAAGCATACAATCCAGAGTATACACCCATTCAAACCACTTATAAAAGCTCATAACTCCCACTTGCAATCCCTCTTAGCTCCTTATTCCACCAAATCCAGTCAGAACCTTTAAAGCAACAAAGATCAACTTCCTTCATTATTCAAAACTTGCCAAATTCATTCCATATATGAAAACTAAACAAGAGGACGACTTCAGAAAAGCAGCTGATTCCCAACATATTTGTTCCCTCATCCAATCCAATGTTACAACTTATATCTTCAAGATAACTGAAACTCAACTAAAGGAAAATACAGACAAGATGTAGTAAAGCTAGCTAGCATGAGTAATTACACACTTAGCTCCTATATTTTCATTTTATATCATGGAGAGGTCTTAAACTCATACAATTCTGTATCACATCATGAAACACATCAACTTAGGAAAACAACTTAATAACCTCACCTGGCTTTATCAAGAACAACTTTCGGCAGCAAATGCCACATAAACTTAATTAGATTAACAAGAAGATCCTGAAAAAGATTAAATAACTGGAAACAACGGTTATTCGCTTCTACTTATTCACTGTGATGCTAAGTACTTCCTCCAAAAAAAAGACTGCTAACTCCAAGTTACTTGTTCAAAATGGTCCAAATATCCAAAACCATGAAAATACCAGGTCACTGGGAATTCCCCAGCTTCCTTCTCCCTGCTTGCCAACTCACTTAGAGGATCTGCAAGAGTTGATAAATTAGTTGTTAATTTCACATTCATCTCAGCAACAATCTGCAGACCTTTGTGGATGTCTTTACCATCCCAAGATCAAGAGCAAATTATGCAAATTAAGTTAAAGTACACAAGTAATCGAGCATATTTGTGCCGCTGTACAACCTGAAACACAAAAGCAAATATTCTCTTGATCTTTATCACATTAAGTAAAAATAACCCGCATCGCATAGTTCCTCATATAATTTTTAAGTAGGTAGCAACTTAAGAGCGATCCCACCACAAAAAAAGAGCGATGCACAAAATAATTTCAAAAGTAGAATTTTAGAGCTAAACCATGATGAGAAACTAACCTTGAGATACAAGTGGAAAGAGAGGACGCAAGAATGGAGGTCAATAAGAATTTAAACTCAGAAAACCACTTGCAAACAGGAATACATACCTTGAGATACAAAGTAAGGCGGGTTCCCCTAGGAATGAGCTTATCCGCTTCTGTTTCCTCTCTTATAGTATAGGAGCTAGCATTTGCTTCTCCTTCCCACACATACTGCTTGTCTGATTTTGGGCTCTTGGTTGAGACAATAACCTTCAAACATTTTAAAGATGCATCAGAAAGCAAGTTCGAAAGAGTGCTCTTTCAAGGTTTGAACTTTGAATGTTGGGGAAATGGATTTGGACACCATACCCGATCTGCAAAAAGAAAAGCAGAGTAAAAACCGACCCCAAATTGACCTATTAGATTGTTATCACTTCCAGCATCCTTGCTATCCTGTGAACAACATATATCCAAATAGTTAGACAAGGTTGAAAGGCACAAGAATGATGAAATCATATTTCTTATAACTATCCACTTCACCTTCAATGCCTTGAGAAACTTGGCAGTACCACTCTGTGCAATAGTTCCAAGACAATCAATTAGCTCTTGTCATGTCATATGAATGTCTGTATCACTGCAAGAAAGGCAAACATGGTTGACCTCAAGAACAAGACAAATGAAAAGAACTGCTCACATGATTCCAAAAGTCATACCCAATGCCGCTGCACAAACCTAGGGGAAATTATTTCAGCAAAAGAAGAATCTAGGGGAAAAAGAAACGAACATGATGATAGAATAAGAACTTGCCTTAAGGTACTCCGATGGCAAACAATTGCGTTTAAATTCTCTAACCTGTCACTGGTTAAGAAAATAATCAACAACCTGAATTGAATAGGTGATCAACATATGCAATATCTTTGGAAAACACCGAATATTAAATCTAAAAGGCATGCATAGTCATTGGAAACTTCAGAAACCAGATAATTACAAACTACCAAACGATTATTTCAGTCTTTCAGAAAACAAGGATTCTAGTGTTACTGATACATTACAGAAACTACAAGTTCCCAATTCGAAGTTTCATCAATATACCATCCAAATACAAACCTTTAACTTAAGATGGAGCAACTATTACTTAGACTCTGTCATTTCCATATTCTCATGTCAATCAGAGTTCGATGACAAGAAAAAAATCAATTAAAAAACATGGAAAAAGAGGGAGCAAGACTCTGAATGACTGATACCTTCAAATTCCCGGCAGCATCAAGAACTTTTCAGGCTACACAAGAGGGGAAATGCTTGATTAGTCTCAGAACATGCAAACAAGCTATTGATTCTTCCACACAGCTGCTGAGCTTGAGATATCTGTACACGCCCTCACTTCGCAGGTTGATGATTTCTCACAGCTTAGAGTTGGCCAAAACTTGTTCTTGCACGGTTTCCCGGATAAAAAAGAAGGTAAAATATTTCAGCGATTTTGATGACAGGGTGAGGGAAAAGAGAGATTGCGCCTCGAGGTACAGGGACAGACCTCTTGGAGCAGAATTTCCAGCAGATGAATCCAAGAATTACGGAGATTACGACAGTGTAGAAGAAGCGAACTGCGGTGTAGTTTCACCAGTAAGACAAATTATGCTTCCGAAGGCATGCCAAGAACTGTTGAAAGAATGCCTGGGAATACTTCATTGGGAAGTTCAACTCTTTCGCTTCCTCACTCGGCTTGCTTAGAGTTTCAATCAAGTCTTTATTATAAAGACTGAGAGAATGATCGCAAACATAAATCCGTGGATATCACAGGAAGGGAGACGGAGTGCAGACATAGAGTGATACTGAACTTACTGATATAGACTAGATTTCCTGTAAATCTCAGTGAAAGATTTTGCTATCAACTACTTCCCTTATATGGGGCAGCGGCGGTGCATGCTGTCTCAACAATAACAGGTCCTACTCCAGCCTCCATCATCTTCTGAAGTCCATACCCAACTGCCATCCCTTGGGCTACCTCGGGCAACCACTGCCTCTGAATACTCTTTTTGTTCACTGCTAAGATGACTCTCCCACTCCAGCCTCTAAAAATGCAGCCAAGTCCCACTTCGCATCTGCTATTAAACCCAGCATCCGTGTTCAGTTTGAAAACTCCATGTGGTGGCTTAACCCATCTGCAGTTGCAACTTCAAAAGCAAGAAAAAAGAGAATCTTAATAAGTCTTACGTTTAAGGTCAGGGGGATAGTGGAAAGAAATAAGTATGAATAGTAGAAAATAAAAAACAACTCTGTGCTGTGATTGGAAGTGGTGAAAATACATGTGTTATAAACGCGCTGCTACGGATCGGGAAATCGCCGGGATCGACAAAGCAAGAATACGAAAGCGAGAATCGAAAACACGACACACGATTTACGTGGTTCACTAACACGATGTGTGTTAGCTACGTCCACGGGCGAGAGAGAGCCAGTTTCACTATATCTGAGGAGATTACAGATTACAGAGGAGTATGAGAAGTATTTATAGTACTTCTCCATGTGGGTCTAAACCTAATCCAATCTAGCAAAGGAAAGATAGTCCGATTACCAGTACTCCCCCGATTACCAGTCGTAGCGGCTGATAGTCCGATTCAAGTCATATCAACAACATGCATCTGTTTTCAGACGACAAATCCCATTGCCTTCCCTTACCAAACAGCCTTAAATTAAATTGTACGAGAACACACAGAGCCGGCCATCTTTTGATGATTTCTATCATCAAACAGAACAGAATGAGATTAACAGCAAAGCTGAATGAAGTAGAGTGGTTATGATGATAATCACTTGTCATCATTAAGTAAGCAGTTCATTATATGGATGCTACAAACAATTACAGGTAGGAGCAGGTATGTTAATGCATATGAAATTGATCTAGCCGAGAGCTTACAAGTTAGGCCATTGAAGTTTCAGGAAAACCTAACAAAAACCATCAAACTTCTTTGTTGGGTAGTTCCAAACAAAGTAAGTTCATTCACATATGAGCTAACATTTCCCATTCAAACCAAAGAAGTCTAATTTTTGTTTTCATCACCCAGATACAGTGAAGAACCAAACAAACACCCACTTACTCGGCTAAATGACTTCAAATTCACCATTGAACCAAGAATCTTAAAGAAAGCAGAAAACAAGCTCAAATCTAAAAGGATAAGCAGAACAACAAAATACTCCTATGAAATCAACACAGACGTTTAACTATCAGCATCTAGTTATTGTTGACAAACCTAGCTTCCAATCTATCCAGCAAAGATTCTGAGTTCTAAAATTATCCACCAGCACTCTAAAATGGTGAATGGGCAACTATTTCCAAGGACAAATTTTTGTCACCACTAATTTGTATCAGTAAACGACGAAGGGAATAACTATGTCTGAGGAGCAAGACATTAGCCGTTTGATCAGTTGCATTCTCTCCTCAAACAACCCAAGCACACAAAGAGGGGAAGAAGATGGGAGAGAAATAACCTATGTAGAAGCAGGCCATAAGTTAAGCCGGAGGTAGGCGTGGATCCAACTTCTCATTGATGTAATCAAGAAAATCACTACAGGCGCGGTGTGGCTCTCCCACCCACCAATACCAGTGCACTTGCCTCCTGCAGAAAGGACGGAAGAACGATGATCATGAGATGTAACCGACAGCAGCATCCTGTAACAACACTGTACAGCTGGCAAGGGATGACGTGGAAATCATTGACCAATGTACAAATAGCAGAACTCACGTTGTGGTGGGGTATCTTTGGGAGAATAAACACCTTGTAGCTACTTTACCAATTTGTAGTCAGTAGATAGATAGAAAACCAGAACTCTTCCTTCCCACCTGTATCTTCTTCTTCGTTCCATTCCTTCGCCAGATTCTTCAATAAAGATCCTTACAAGTGGTAATTAGAGCCTGTAATCTGGCAATGGCACCAACTACTTCTCGTATCGTGGCCTTGGAGATGCAGATGGTGGCTGTTCAGTCGCAGATGGATTTTCAGCATCAAGTCATCAAGGACGCTATTGCTGCTCTTGCAGCTTCGACAAGGGAGCGCCTCGCCGCCCTCACTGCTTCTTTGACGCGAAATCAGGCGACATCGCCGATTCCCTCACCACCGCGTCACGATTACGATCATCTCCTTGCTCATCAACACTTCGCCATCAAGCAGCAGAGGGACTCATGGAACCAGGATCTGAAGGCCGCCATTGCTGATCTTGCGGCGTCGACGAAGGCCTCCATCGATGCTCTTACTGCTTCGTTGGAGCAACGGCGGGACGAGTCACTGGTTCGTTCTTCTTCGCACGCGACTCCCAATCAGCTCGCCGATCAACAGTGGTTCCGTCCGCCACTGCATTGGCCGTCAATGTTGGATCCTCATGTACGGGTTCCTTCTTCCACCTTCTCCGGGCAATCTGACTCGACCTCCGATCCACAGGTTACTTCTCCACCGCTCGATTGGGTTTCTCCCCTGTTTACCCCAAGACTGCGAACCCTAGTTCCTTTTGCTGTTTCTTCTCCGAGTCTTCAAGCCCCAGTTCTTTCTTCTCAAGAACCACCACCGATTGCCTTGCCCTCTTTCCCACCATCTTCTGTTTCGCTACCTTCTGTTTCCCTATCTTCAATTTCCTCTCTTAGTGGTAGTAGCAGCATAGTTGTAGGCGGAGGAGGGACTGGAGATAACGGAGTTGATAATTTTGCTATTCGAGTTTTTCCTACAGTGTTTAGTTCTGGATTCCAGGACTGCCATATTCCATTGATGCTCTCTAAGTTGAATTACGGGGTTCAACTTTGTTGTGGTTATGGTGAGACTTGTGTAGCTTATACAAGGAGAGAAAAATATCCTTGTTTCAAGGCTCCATCTGTGGGTTGCAATATGGCGATCTTCAACTCCAGTGTCAAGTATGGATTTCAGATTTTCCCAACATATTATGGGGTTCACCTGAATTCTCATGCGGGGTGCACTTATGCTGATTTTAAGGGCCCTTACAAAGATTATGAAGAGCATGTGGGTGATGTTGAGCATGTCCAGAGGAAATAGAATTATGGTTTGAGTGAGCAAGATTATGGTTTGGATGTTGTAGGCAGTGAACCTGTGAGGGCTTTGGTCAGCAGGGTACAGAGAGAGAGGGAACAATGTGCTGATTGAGAAGGTGATGCTAAAGTTAGTCAACATGATACTATTGCAAATAAGAATGCAGGGTCTAGTTCAATTGTTGAAAACGTGCCAACTGTAGCAGCAACAAAGCTATCTAGGGAAAGAGCGGATCATGTTGATCGCACTATCTTTGCATTCTTCCTTTGGGACTATTCCACGGTAATTGAGTTCGTAACATCACTTCTACAGCGGCAGAATCAAGCAGTTTCCATTGTAGAAGAGGAGCATGCTCTTGACGATCTGACATGTGGGGCTCACTCCGTTGTAGCCAGCAGTAGGGATTGCCATGGGTTGAGCAGTGATTGTGGGAATCAACAGCTTTATTGTTGTCTACTACTCCTCTTGTGGGCATCTGGTTCCATTACCCATTCAAATGGGAATTGGGAAATGTTGTTTCCATCTCATGTTAATGCTACTCAACCTAAGCATTTTTTCCTATCCTTTTTCCATGTTAACAGGAGGGACTTTGGGCTGCAGTCCACGTCAGACAAGGGTTTTATGATCCCGGAGGAACATGGTTGCATAGGTGGAGAAATCACTATACAATCTGCTCTAGTGCACTTTGTTACATCTCATTGGTTTGCCCAACTTTATGGTGGCAGTTTGTCTATTCTTTCTGTTGCTCTTGGATCCATGTCCTTCATAACTTGCAGTATGTGGCTGATGTTTTCCTTTGAGGCCTTGTATGGCTTTCCTCCGGCGTTCTTTGGGCTTGCTGGTCATCTTACTTCCTCGGTAGAGGCTATTGAGTGTCGTTTG